GCCATGGGGCAGGGGCGAAAAGTACAGTAGCAACCTCAAACCTTGCCCCAAACTTGCACACAGGCCTCAAGCGCGCGAAAATTATTTGGGGGGGACGTTTTTAGGCCACCAGCCGACCTACCTTGCGGGGGGGAGGGGGGGGGGTTATTAATCAAGAGTTAACATTAAGCCCCAAGCCCCAAGCACCTAAACCCTACTGCTGTAATCTTGGCTCTATTAAAACTAACACAATCCTAGGCCCCCCTAATGTTTTNNTGTTTTTAATTAACTTTCAATTGTGGCCTCGGAACCGCAAAATCCAGCGCCAGGAGGTTTTTATAGTAGGGGGGATTAATATTTAATGTTAGTGGAAAGGGATTAATCTCCGCTGCCCGCGACGTCTTTGGCGGACCAAATCATTCAAGCATACCCTCAGGCGAATATGCTCCAAAAGTCAAACCCTAAAGACGAAAGTCCGGCAAACAAAAACACTTGGTGGGTTTCCGGAAGTGTCAGAACAACAGGGCGGCAATCCAGCCGTCGTTTCCCCCCGGTTGTTGTTCGTGCTTCAGGGCTCGGGGTTTGACAACATCTTTCGTCTAAGAGGGCTTGTTGATCAGTGACGTGGTGGCGGATTGCAGAAAGGAACATAAGGCCACTGCCCAAAAAGGAAACACAAACTATCCCACGAGCCTCTGCTCGTAGATGCGCTGTGCCGCAGGCCAAAAGCTGGACAGGACACCCGGAGGAAAGAAGATGTTGTAGCCACCCCGCGCATACCTGAAACAGCGACATGAGAGTATGGGGGAAGCAGCTCCATACCCACAAGCTGATGCTGTCACTTGTCTACCAAAGCCTGAGCAAAGCAAAGTGTTTGGAGTAATTAGGCTTCTCATGCTCTGACAACATGAACCCTTGTCTTAGTTTTGCGGGATCACCATGTCGACAGGACCCATTTGGTGAACATCAGGGTAATCTGCTTCTAGATGTCCTCGCCTTTGGCCTGGGCCTTTGCAGAACCGGCATCGACAGCCAGCCACACCACTTTTCTAACTTACCAAAGCCTCCAGCCACTCTAGCCCCAATGAAATCCTTCCCAATTCTCGTCTTGCGCCCGGAGGGCTCATCGTCGGCCCAGTTCTTCGACAGCACCTCAATCATTTTCTCCTCGGTCGGTCCTCTCGAAGCATACAAAAACCGTTCCGACCGATCGCTCGGCACCTTTTTTCCTTGCCTGCTCTGCGTCGTTTACCAGAAAAGTGGTGAAAAGTAAGCATGCACTCCACAAAGGTATCCAGAAAGACTTGGTCCTGATTGGACAACGACCGAACTGCTACATACCGCACCCAAGCCGAAACATGGAGAAGGATCGGGAATAATGGCCACGAAAGCATCAGTACCCCAAAATGGTGCATCCCATCTCCTAGTGCTTCTGCCAGGATGTTCTGCATCACTGCCTTCTGCTCCGAATCCGTGAGGCGGAGGAAAGCCTTTCTTCTAGGATAGCTTGCAGGATGATCGGTGCAGAAAACCATTCCAAACAAAAAGGGAGCTTGTCGACGTGTGCATCGTGCCGACCACACATGTCTAGTCCAATGCAACCTGCGAGTGCAGGCAGAAATCCTTAGACTCAATTTGTGCCTGGCCCCAATTTCAAAACGACGGCAAACCTACGCCTTAATGTGGAGTCGTAGAATCAGATACTCCAGCATCCGAACCCAATAGCCCTCCAAGCAAGCGACAACAACACACTGCGAAGGAGCCCTCACGGTGCCTTGAGGCTTTTAGGTTCGGGGTTGCCGGCATGGGGTGAACGAGCCAGCCTCTTGGGAAGTCAAAGCCTGGAAGCTTACATGCCTAACGGCTCTGCATGGCGCAGGTGCCACAAGCAATCCCAAACACCATGACACAGCTGAGGCTATGCACCCTGTCAAGAAATCAATTCTTTCTGCCCCCTTAACAACTTCATCCAGTGCTTTGACATACTTGCTGCATACTTGCCCCTAAACTACCCCTACCCAGAAGTTTGGATCGTAAAGGAACAGCCCATTAAGAAAAGTACACAAACACGAAACACACGAAGCGAGAACTTCTCTACGCATGACGGCTTCTCGTGTGCTGGCAGCTGCTCACTTATCGACCACGTGGCTCGATTCTGGGCACCTTCCGTGAAGCAAGTGAGGACCTGTGCATGCCCGGAAGGGTGGCGGAATGGATCTGTCATGGGACTTCGTCTTCAAAGTAGTTTGCAATCTCCGCATCTGGGTCTAGGCCCATGAAGCTGAACCGGCGGCCGTCTGGGGCAGGCTTACATCCTAGCAGTATAGGTTCAAGCTTCAGGCAGGACTCGGGCCGTGCAACTGCAAGTGTACATCCGGGCTCGAAGCCCTTGCAGGCCGCTACATGTCAACAAGGCTGTGGAAACAAGCTGGGTTTAGGGTTTAGGGTTTAGGCCAACAAAAAGTACGAGCGCCAAGGCAACGACTTCCCCAAGGCACATCACAACTCTCAAATGATTTTGCCCAACGGTTCTAGTGCAACATGGAACAAGTCTTAGGTCGCTGCACCGCGGCTCCAAGAATATGGAGAGTTGTCGAAGCCTTAGGAATGTGCACAAACAGCACAAATTCCAAATTCACTGATGGCTTAAGCCGAGGGGCAATTGTGAACATAGTTGCTGGGCGCGGACGTGTTGAGAAATATCATCTTCCCAAGGTATCCTGAGCTGTAGTAGTGTATGAGCGCAACAAATACTTGCGTTCATAAAGGAACAGAAGCAGTGCCCTTTTACAAATCCTGCTCTTGCGAGGCTTACTCGTTGCCCAGGCTCCGCGCTCTCGCCACCAAGGCTTCTCATAGACCATGGAGTATTTCATAGTCGTTCCCACCGGCATGCGCCTCGCCATTTCGCTAAAAAACGGCAGCTTCTGCAAGCCCGACTACATTTCCCAGGCTGTCAGAGAACTTCCTGTCATCCGAGCTTCTCCAACAGCTGATCCATTGCGCCATCCAAAGGCGGCTGGAAATCGATGGCAGAGATCAGACTTGGAGTAAGTCCAGCCACAATCACGTGCTTCGCCACCACCTTCGAATGTGCAGACCCGAGGAGCCTAAGGGTTGCGGCCTTTCACACGCTATGCATGACATGAGCGTAGATTGTCAACGGAAACATCACAAAAAGAGTCTGAGCCCATTGTGTCTGCAACCTCAAAACAAGATTTCCAAGCACCCTGGAGAGTGCGCATCAGCGACTGCGACTCATCAAATCATAAATACGCACGAAAGATATTTGCTGCTTCTGCTCCTTCTATGCTCAAACTGTTTGCTACCTGCAACTTCACTCACTGTTCAGCCGGCTTGGGTCTAACATAGGGGCGTTAAGAATCAGAATAGGGTCTTGGGATCCATTGTACCATAAATATATTAAGGAACCCCCAAAATAGTATTGGTAATTATTATTTAAGCCCCAACATTAGGGCAGGGTCGCTGCTCAACCCAGGTAGTGTATTCAGACTACACCTTCGCAGCCGGACAAGTCCTCAACTACAAGTCACTGTGTCAGCTCGAGCCACCACGCCCTTGGAGCTGTGAACTTCGTACAGCGAATTCGCACGACGGTGTATGGCGGTGACATGGGCCCCCAGCTGCAGATCCCCTCCTGGGCGGCCATGTCACGCAAAGAAGTACCGCGTGCAAAGCTATAGAAGTTCGATCATGCTCGCAGGCGGTCTTTGATTTTCCCAACTATATTGAAATCCTAATCTCGTTTGTTGGTAGACTCAGTGTGAGCAGCCTTGTGCCAGTAGGGCAGAAACACACACCCGGCCTCTTTCCGAACAGTCTCAGCATGGCAACCCCGAAGTTAACATCCGGCACATCAAGACATACGGAACGGGAACTTTCGAAGCGTGGGCTTGAAGCCACTGAGCCACCAAACGCTAAACTCCCCCAATCAAAAAAAGGATCCTGCTATGTAGGGTACTATATTAGGGTATTATATGAGGGTACTATATAGGAACTATACGTCACACTCCCAAGTATGGGCTGCCGGCGAGGATCCCAGCTGTGCGGCCATGCGTATCGCCGGGGCTTGGGAGCCCCCCCGGACCCGCCAATAGTCTTCCTTCCGGAGATGTAATCTGAATCTGTGCGTGTTTTGGGAGGCCTTGGGATGGATTGGGGCGTCTATTCACACCATCATTGTCTCCTGCATCCTTGCTCGGTGTTCTTGGGTGTGAGTGGTTTCACTGCAACTGCTCGCAGCATTGAACCATGCGAATCTTAGACTCAGGCTTGCAAAAAGGCGCCCCTCAGTGCTGAGCCCAAACTGACTTTGCAAAGGCTGTGCGCACAGCGTCCTGAAGCCTACACATAAGCCTCTCCGAAGTCAGAATCCTACGCCCACGAGCGTGTGCTGCTCAGGCGTCCTCTCCAGATCCCTCCACCCCACCGGAGCAGTTCAGCTGCCACAAAACAACTTAGGTTCGGCACGAGCGACTGGATCCATGAGTTGAAAGCGAAGTGCAGGAAGCTGTCGGACTCTTCTAGAGCGCTAAGACCAAGTAAAAGACTTAGAAGTTCCGGCATCGTTACAGAATACAAGACTCTCGATGCATTCAAGGAGCACAGGGCTGAGATTTGATTCAAGGCCTCTGCATCGTCGGCTTTGTCATAGAGGGTGTTGTAGGCCATGGGATAATGCTGCAAGCCCAGAGCCATCTTCAGGAAGGCATCGTAGGAAAGGGAGTCCCAAAGCGAGGCGTTCGGATTGGAAAACGGAGCGTGGCAGGGGGTGTTTTTCACCTGCGCAGCACTTCAAGGATGAACAGCCCGGCGCACAAGATTCAACAAATGCAACCTGACAGTGACTGCACGTGAATCGTTCTTGCTGAGATCTGCCTGGAACGCAGAGACGTAAAAAAAAAGGACTGGCCTCCTTGGACATTTCATCTTGTGCTTTTTGCAAAGCTTGCCGCTCCTGTGCACAGCCCGATGGAGGCTTCGGCTCAGGCTTTGGCTCTCTTTCGTTACTGTCTTGAGGGCTTGAACCCTTCTCGCACCAGCACCTGCTGAACTATTGAAGACCTCGTGTTCTACGACCGCCTAGATCGAAACCAGACGATGACGTAGGTTGGAGACCATCATGCACAGGGACCATGAGGGCCCAGCACATTTAGTGACACTCATTCATGCTTGGCACCACACCTGATAGCTTTCATCGTCAAGCAACGCACAAAGCCCAGGCCACCCAAGCACACATTACTAGCTTTGTTGCCCCGAACCCACTATAAGTACAACCGCCTCCTGTGGGAAAAGCTTCACCGCCGCATCAGGCGATGAGACGCTGTGCCAGCCGTCTTCGGAGCGAACCTGGGAACATTGGACTCTCTTCTCGCATCAGGCTGAGATAGGGCGGCCTGCTTCCTTTATTCAAGCAGAATCGTAGACATATGCATGACCTCTTTTGCTCTAGAGGTCAGGGAGGCAGTATCCCTGACAACGGAAATCAGATCATCGGACCTCATGACCAGACGAAGATATTCTATACTCGTGTCCAGTAGCTCGCACAGAACACGCACCGCGGCAGGGAGGAGTTGTCGCATTGTTGACGCCGCTGAGTGTATTGAAAGGTCGATGGAAGAACTCGAAGCCCAACTCCTTGAAGAGCCCTCGGCATCTTACTTAGGCTTGTACCATGAATACGAGGCTTTGGGGAGTTCGGAGCGCTCAAATGACGTCGGTCCTGATTGTCCAAAGTTGGTTTGAGGAGTGAGGTCACTACCCAGCACACAATACGACGCTCTCGAATCATTCCAATTTCCCTACTACAGGGCTCAGCAGCCCAAACCCCACTTTCAACTTAGGCTCGCAAGGCTTCATGATGACCTGTGGCCAGCCACTCGCCCCCCATTTCCACCACCTTGGGCCACGACAGGAAGAAAGCTGTGCCAAAGCCGAAGATGTCGGAATTTAGACTCCGTAGCTCTATGTCTAGGGTTTAGGGCTTTCAGGGTTTAGGGTTTTAGGGTTTATATGGCTTAGGAAAGGTTTTGGACTTCGACAAAACCAGCCCGGGCATCCTGGGCTTACGGTGGCTCAGCTAACAAAATCTGCAAGACCGAAGGCTGGGTCCTAGCTCCGAGGAGTCGAGGAGTGCAAGCGGCTTTTTTCGGATTCCTGAAGGGAAGCTCTTTGCACAGGGTTGAGGGTTTAGGGGTTTAGGGTAGGAACGACGCAGGGCTGACACTTTGCCGAATGTTGCCATTGCTCCAGAGAAAAGTAGCAAGGAGGTGGCCTTGCCACTGGACCAACAAAAATTCAGGGTCAATACGCGATTAAGGCGCGTCATCCGGAGTTTGGCCGACGACCTCCTGCCCGTGTCAGCGCTGCCGCCACAACAACTTCTCGGCAAAGGTCCCTCGTGCAGTACGCAACCCTCACGACCTAATGAGTCCCGGCTCAACAAGAATCGCCCTAAACCCTAAACCCTAAACCAGAAACACGTTTTCGGAGCTCCTGATTCAAGATTCGTCCGCCAACTCGTTCCCGAGCTTCGAGAACTTGGAAGGACACCCCATGCCTTGCAAAGGGCACAGAGTTGCTACTGCCGGAGCCACTTACATGCTTTCAGGTTGTCTCAGGCTGTCACATTGGCTGTTTCAGCCTTGGAGTATTGCTTTGCACCTGCCTCCGGTGTTGAAACAGTTACAGAAGGCACGATGTTCAAGTTTTTTGCACTTGTCGATACGACATTGTTGAAGGAACTGCTTGGCTGCGCACCGGGACACGGGTAGTCTGGCACAGTGCAAAAGTTCACCGTTCGTTGCATGTGTGATTCGAGCGTGAACGATGCTGCTGGGTTTTGTTTCGTCGTGCCGATTTACGGAACCTGGCAGGGAACTTCCATGATGTTTGTAAACGGTCACTCAACTCCTTGGTCTCACTTCATATCAACGAGATGCATCGCGCCCACCAGAAAACACACAAGCGTCCCGAGCTGAATCCTCACCCTCGAACACTGACGTGAGTCTCGACAGGAAGCTTTGACCCAAGTTCAGCCCAATCAAGAACCGAATTGAAACTGACACCGGCACCTCTTCAGCATGCGCGCAGCAGACAGACCACTGCAGCCTGCACCCACGATGGCCACATCGACCTCTCCGGCAGTTCTCCAACATGCTGCCTCTTGTTCAGCTGACTGAGTCCGCAGTGATAATTATGAGGGCTGCATCTCTGATCAGCCATTAACGCCACAGTATGTGTCATGTGACACAAAGAACTGTAGAGCGGAGTTCTCAACCCTGAAACCCTACTTTGGGCGAGCGCATGGCCAAGGCCTCGACCTAGCCAGTAGCTACAAACCTATAAGGTTTTGCTCCAGTTCTCACTCCCCTACAAATTAAATTCTGCGTTGAATAAAAACACATTCTGCGCAGAATATTCAAATGTTGCTTTGAGAATGTCAGAAAATTCCGACTGGAATTTGAAAATATTCCTCCGGGAATGCCATTGTGGCGATGGTGAGACCCTTGTTTGGGGGGCGGCCAGGGTTTAGGGGAAGCCAAAAAGGACTCTGACCTTCCTTTTCAGCACGCGCTGTCGGCAGTGTGTTAAAAGTCACTCCTGCTTGCTGTGTCTCACGGCTGACGCAGAAGGGCCTCAGCGGCTTCCCTGTGCATTTCGGAAGCAAAAAAATCGCTCCTTCTCAGGATGCCACAGAACGGCGTGTGCGTCCTCTTCACGAATTTTGGCAGCGATCTTTCTTGGTTGATAAAAGTTGTCACCTACAACTTGTTCTATACCATTGGGATGCTTTGCAAGGTCCCGCAACATGTTCAGACCAACAGCTACATCATCAAGCTTTAAGCGGCTAAAACTACGCACATCATTACGAGCCCTCCTCTCCAACTTTGCCTGGATGTCATCAATCGGCATACTGTTCCTCAGCTCTTATATCACAGCATGGCAACAAAGCAAGTT